AGTACTTAATGAAATTAACTGCGTAAACTCAGTCATGGAATTATTTTCCAGCAGCTTGACTGCATTAACCCTATATTTTGAATGATGCAACCAATTTTTCTTTATTTTCAGTATTTTAATATTAATTTTCACAAAAAGGATTTGCAGCTTTATATCTTCTATTAATTATCTGCGAGCGCTTTCGACAGCTGGTCGTACTGTCATCTTCTATTAAAATATATATACCTGTAACGATTAGTTATCTTGTTGTAAAAAAAAGTAACATCGGATCACTTTGTGATATTCAAATGTCGGAAGTATTTAAAATTTAGTTCGCTGGACGTCGTTAACAATTTGTTGTTACTATTAGCTTCTTTAGGAATTCATGAACATTAATGTACCTACAATATTTTCAAATGAATCTATCTCTGTCTAGAAGTTCAGACAATAAACTCCAAAAATGTATAGCCTCATTTGAAGCTTCAGTGATGACCATGTACTAAACTTCAGTATTTCTTAAAGCTACAGTTTTCTGTTTATTACATTCCCATGAGATTGTACCCTATGACAATGTAAAAACGAAGTCACTATATGACCTTCTGTCAACCAGATTAATTGCAAAATCTGCATCCACATAACCTATCAGATTACCGTAACCCTTTTTATACCTCAAACAAAAATTCTTAGTGCCCTGCAAATATTTCAAAATTCCTTTTGCACACTTTCAATGCTGCCCAGTATAACAATTGTTGAACTGGCTTGAAAAATTAACTGCGAAAGTGATATCTGGTCTAGTTAATGCTGACAGATACATGAGGCTATCAATAAGCTGCTGATAAGGCAATTCTTTTGAATACAAACTATAATTATCTTCCTTATCAAAACAAATACCCTTTTTTATTGGTGTGCTTACTGTTTTACAATTACTCATTTTAAACTTTACCAAAATTGGATTTACATACTGTTCTTGATCTAGTAAAATATCTTTTCCATCTTTACTTTTTCTAACTCTCATCCCCAAACACTGTTGAATTTCACCTAAATCTTTCATCTTGAATTTATTAGTAAACTGCTCTTTCACAATCTGTGTTTCCTGGGTTGAATTAGATGAAATGAAGAAATCATCAACATAAAGCGCTATGATAGTAAGAAAACCATTGTCGTGTTTTACGAAACGCAGGGTCCATTGTCATATTTCTTATACCTTAAGCTAGTAAGTTCATCCTCAACCCTCTTGTACCAAACATGTGCAGATTGTTCCAGACCATATACAGCTCTATTTAATTTTAATACAGCATTATCACTATTATCTGTATTAATAGCAATTAGGCATTCACATATAACCATTTGTCTCAAATTTCCCGTTTAAAAAAGTTTTTCAACATCTAAATGGCAAATCTCTGAATTCAACTGAACAGATAATTTTTTTTCTCATTAGTCAGTGGACTATGCTTGAAGACAGGCAGTAAACAAATGTAAAGAAGTGAACTTTGAATGCCAATTGCATATGCAATTGGCAATACAATTGCATATACAGGAAATTTTCTGTAAATATTTCTGCACTGACACCTGTCGGATATAATCCAACGCCGTTCGTGGTATTAGTCAGTGGAGTAGTTATTTTCTGATAGGCGTCAGTCCATTTCGGAGTATTCACATATTCCTTGCCGTTATCAGTATGAAAAACTTTGATTTTCCTATTGAGCTGATTTTCCACCATGCATTTGAATTCCTTGATCTTTTGAAAGGTTTCATCCTCAGAATTCAAAAAATAAACAAAGGACATTCTGCTAAAATCATCCTGCATCGTTAGAAAGTATTCAGAAAGTTTTGGTCCTGCCAAATCGCTGTGAATTACACCTAAAAACATGCCCTGGTTCCACTGTAATCGAAGGGTTGACGAGTTTGCTTCCCTTCACAACACACTTCACACTTAGTTCTAACCCATCTGTCATTTTGTTTAAGTAGGTTGAGTTAATATGACCCATTTTTTTGTGTCAAACTTCACCAGATACAGCCTTTGCTTGTCCAGCAAAACTAGCCTTTTCTAAAAGTTCCATTTTGTACACACCATATGTAATAATAGCTTCAGCCACTAACACATTGTCACAGTTGTAGATCTTACAACAATCCTCGAAATTTACCATCTTTCCATTCTTGAGCAATTTACTCACTGACAATAAATCGGTAATGAGACCAGGAACATATTGAATATTTCTCAAAGTTTCTCTTGGTGTAAACTTTGACTTCACCACCACTGTGCACTTGGAGTTTTGTGTTGTTCACAACCACAATTTCTTTCGTTAAAGAATGTCTCGGGTTGATTAACCAATCGTTCCTGCATGTTAAGTGAAAACTGGCAGCAAAATCTATATACCAAACTCCATTGTCCAACTGTGAGCTCAAGAAAACAGCACTAAATGCACTCCTAGCTCCTATTGCACTTTTGTCTTTGTTGTTAACATTCTGTGATCTATTTGGATTCTGCTGTCGTTTTTGACTTCGACAGCCCTGACATTGACTGCTTTGAACGTGACGGCTGCCACATTGCTTCCACTGTTGCCATATCTTCTGACAAACGTACCGGAAGATGTGCTGCCATTCTGTGACATATCGAGCAAATTGATTTTAATCTGGTCAGCCGTTATATCGATTCTGCGCCATTACCATTGGTGAATAACGTTCCGGCAAACCAGCTAACAGCAAACTACCAACAAGTGGTGTATCCAACTCAAGTCCTGTTCGATCAAGTTTCTGGGATGTTTCGATCATTTGATTCACATAATCTTCCATGGATGAGCAATTTTTTAACCTCAAGGAAATTGCATATGCTCATTCTTCATAATTTTCACATCCTCTTAGCTTTGGAATCATAGATAAGTAACTGGCGGCCATTTTCTAACTCGTAAACACACGGCACTGCACAACTGTACTGTCTCTCGATTATTACAGTTAACTGCTCCTACTTTATACTGATTGTGGAGAAAAGTACACTGAGCTTGCATAATGCAGCCTAGTTATTGCGTCCTCTGCTCATAACCTGTTGAAATAACCGGTGGAAAGTGGAAACTAACAGAGGAACAAATTATCGCGACTATGACATTTACTGAACTTCACATAACTAACTATTACAATATGTGGAGTTGCCAGCTTTAAATTAGATGGCGCGACCAACGCAAAGAGTACACTACAAAACTATATTCGTTAGATACAATTCTAACACCATCTGAGACCCAAAGAATTGGGATATTAATATTTATTGGAGTGGGTGATAAAACAAGAACGCATTCTGAGGTATGCAGAATATTCAATGAGAAGTATCCTGACCGTCACATTTCCCAGTCTGCGGTGGGTAGAATAGAACACAAAATTCGTGAATTTGGGACTGTAATAGACCTTCCCGAACCTGGGAGATCAAAATTGAATGACGACAAGAACTTGAATGTATTGGTAACTTTTGAGGAAAACCCACAGAAACCCACAAGAGAAGTAGTTGATGATAATGATGTGAGTAGAATTTCTGTATTGAGTATTTTGAAAACACATAAATACCATCCATATCAAATTGAACTAGGTACATCAAGAATCAAATGAGGATGATCCTGATCGTAGATAATAATTTTGTGAAATACTTTGGAATAGATGCCAACGGAATCTGATGTTTCCCAAAAATAGTCTTCACTTCACTTCAGTCATTAATAGAAACATATGGTTTCAACAAAATGGAGCTACACCACACTATGCAGCATCAGTTCGAGCTTATATCAATCAATGAAGTTTCAATTCTCTTTTCTTTTTCCGTATCGATTGATCGGTAGACATTGCAAAATTGACTTCACTGGATTTAACTTTACTGATATAGTAGGGATCGGCTCAGAATAATTACAGGGTTACTAACCGGTCATTGTCTGCTTAGAGGACACCTGAATAAAATGGGGCTGTACAACGGAGACCTCAGCTTCAGATTGTGCAACGAAGGGATAGAAACAGCTCTACACATCTTATGCGAATGTGAGGAACTGAATCACAGGAGGCAGGAAATATATACACGTACGAAATTACGTCCAGAAGAATATGACGAACATCCAACACGGAACCTGTACAAACTAGTACAGGGAACGAGATTGATGGAATGGGTGTCATGAGAAGATGGGAGAATAAACGCAATAAGCCCAAGAGGCTGCAGTGTTTTCTGCAGACTTGGACTAAATGGACAAGTCAGACAGCTCCCAAGCTACAAAAAAAACTGACTTCACTGGACTATTTTTCGTGAGGTCATTTGAAATGAAAATCTACAGGAGGAAACCAACTGATATTGATGAATTGAAACACCGCATACAGAAAGAAATTATTCAGATCAACTGTGAGATGTTGCAAAACGACGTCAAATAATTTCAACACCGTCTATTTTTTTTGTCAAGAAAGAAACAGTGCCTATTTTGAGCATATGATTCACAATATAATTATTGTAAATATTGTTAATAACGTCAAAATTTTTTTCGTTCTACGGCTTCATTAATTATTGAACAAATTGAGCAATTAAAAATTATTGTTTTTTGTTGCCAACGCCAGAAATCAAAAAGTGTTATATTGCAGAAAAAAGTATTGAGAATCTGTTTTAACGCGGTATTACACGCTACCCCTTTTGATTTAAATTTTTACAGAGGTAGCCATTACCCCCAGTGGTTTGAAAAGGTAGTTGAACCAAAATAATTACCCAAAATCGATGGTCGAAGGCATTTTCAGACAAAGAAGAAACTGTCTATATAACAATTCTAATCAATATGAAGACAAAAATAACTTTTTCTAAATTGAACAAAAATTATCCTATAGTGTGTGTGTGTGTGTGCGTGCGTGCGTGCGTGCGTATGTATATGTGGGTGCGTGCGCGCGTGGGTGCGTTTTACATATCATCGCATAGCACATAAAAACCGTAGACATGCACGTTTCATGCTAGTTTTCATCATCAATATGTGGTAGCCCTATTCAAAAATCCTTGTTTGGTATATTTTTTTTTGCAGGTTACTATTACGTCTTCCTCCATTGAGGGCATTGGAGTCAAATATACTTGAGGAGCTTTTTTTTGCAGGACTCATAGGACAAATTCAAATAGACAGTGTGATACCATACATTTTAAGGATGGGAGGAAGTGTTTCTTCCTCAGCCAACAATAGACAAGTTAAAACAGAACTCATAGATGATTTTTCATGCAAATGACGTTATCTGTACATTTTTTTCTGTGTTATTATTTATTTTGTACTATTTTTTTTCTATTGCATTCTTGTTCCTATATCAATAAAAAATATCTTTCTACTTTTATTATTATGTCTAATAACAACAACAACAACGAAAGGTCACTTTGCAACTGCTTTCGTCAGGTAGGTAAGCAACATAAATGTGTGGAGAAGCCCTCCCATAGATGCCGGCTACTAACTACAACCAACAGCTGAGAGAAGCTTTCCCGATTCTCTCAAGTAACCTACAGCCATCCAGGCTGGAATTCTCAGCTTTGGAATTGGTTTCTCGTGCAGATCACAATGCCCTAGAATTTGGTTCAAAGCATATTCACGAGAGGAGTCTTTTGAGGAAATGTTGAGTCACTTTTTGGTTGCACCATTTAGCCTCGTAGGTTTTTAACACGTTCAAGAGTTGGCGAACTGAGAAGCTCTTGTTCTGAAGTTACAGGAAGAATAGTCAAGGTAGTTTAGTCAACGACCACCTCCTCTGTAGAATCAGAATCAGATTCTTTGGTTACTTTATAGGTTATAAATGGTTCCACAAATAGCTAGATAAATTATATTAATTGTGGCAATCCCCGAATTATGGTGACGAGGTTTTCGATTTCGAGAAGGCCCCCAGTATGTCAAAGGTTTCGTTAGTGACATCAAGAGGGCTCAGAGTCATACTTCCTTTTGGCACGGGTACACATACCTGTTTATTCAGATTCAAATCACAAAAAGAAATAACTGAAGTAATACGTACAGTTGAATAAACATCGTAGAAACCGCAGAAGCATCAGATGTTGCTTGTATGTGGGGAAAAGGAGATCCAAAGGAAAAAAATTAATATATGATAAATATTATATTTAAGAAAACGCCTTTGCATAATTTCAATTTGAGAAATATGGCTATTTAATGCTCCTCCCCACACTACTATTCCATAGCGGATATGACCTCAATTTATTGACGGTATATTTAATATACAGGTCCCATTTCAAATTGGTGTCTAGAACTTTCTTAAGTGTTTTATTTTCTTTTCAGGAAAGATACGGGAAGGTGTATCAGTTTTTATCGTTAATTTATCGAACGGGGGTGCTCCAGCTGCATTACAACAGAATGGTAGGTAATGCGTTTTGTCAGTATTCACCGTCAGTAGTTTCTTATCCAGCCAATATTTCATGAGGGAGAATTCTGTTTCAACTTTTATTTTCAAGGAATTCCAGTTATCTGCTTTGTAAAAGATAGCAGTGTCATCTGCGAATCCGACTATGTTTCCGTTGCCTAATGCAAAAATTACTCCACAGTCGATCACCTTATCACTGCTCAATATATCATAGATTGTTACTGTTTGACTTCTTCCTGTTAAATAACTTTCAAATAATTTCAATGACTTACCCCGTATTCCGATATCTTCCAAAGACTGAAGGATACATGGTGACTGACGGTGTCAAATGCTTTTGAAAGGTCAATGTGTTTTTCTTTCATTCAAGGCCTCAGTTACTTTTGAAGTCAGAGTGAGTATAGCATCTTGGGTTGACATTTTTTCTCTAAATCCGAATTGATTGTTGGAAATCAGATTGTATTTATCAAGGAAATAGATGAGCCTTTTTTTGATAATCTTTATAACCATTTTCCAGAGGCACACAAAATGTTATGGGAAGATCAAATCACCCTGTCCTTTCTACAAGTCTAGAAGGTAATAGATAGAGGTTCCTATAATGATTTGAGGCCCTTCGACCCCGGCCCTAATAGATAGAGGTTCTTATAATGATTTGAGGCCCTTCGACCCCGTCCACATGGCTCAATAAAAATGAAGAAGGAGAATATACAGTATATTCTCCATTAAGATCTATCATGAATGTGATAGACTCACTGACTCATGGACTGGCAAAATACCTAATGACTCTAGTACAGCAAGTTATTTATTAAAGACTTCTTACATTTTAACTCAGTAAAACTCTTAAAATGGGAAACTTTTGATAAACCCGTATATTGTCAAAAGGCATTTCTGAATTCGGAAACCACAAGATAGAAATGTCAATTTAAAAATTCAAAAATAAATTATTTTTAAGAAAACTACAACATATCAGAGGCAATTAAATCGTTTTGTTCTGGTTCTGCTGGTGGTTTAGATTCTTTTCGCCCTAGCCACATGCAAGACCTCATCAGTCACATCTCTGGAAATATACAGGACAGAAACTTCTTTCTTCTGTTACAAACTTATGTAACTTCATTTTTACTGGTAGGGTTACTCCAGAAATTTGTCCTATACTTTTTGGCGCTTCACTGTGTGCTCTTCGGAAAAAGGATGAACGAGTAAGACCGATTGCTGTCGGTACCTTTTATCGTCGATTGGTAGTCAAACTTGATTGTATGAGAATCAAAAACGAACTAGGATCAATGTTGCGTCCACTACAGTTTGGTTTTGGTACTGTAGGTGGACGTGAAGCTGTTGCTTATACTGCTCGTAGATATATTAATCTTCATCCAAATCCCGATTCAAAAATTTTCCTGAAAATATTCTTCAAAAATGCCTTCAGCATGATTGATAGAAACATGCTTCGTAGGATCGTAGGAAAGATTCGTTTCCAGGATTAGGTATATCCCTTCTTAAGTCAGTGTTATAAATGAGTTTCCTATTTGAGTTTTGGTGAACATCTGATTCTGTCTGAAAAAGGTTTTCAACAAGTTGATCTCTTAGGACCTGCTCTTTGTTGTGTGACCATCAATGAACTCACTAGAAGCTTATCATCCGAATTTAATTGTTGGTATTTGGACGATGGCTCAATCGCTGGCAATGAAAACATTGTTTCAAAGGATTTAGAAAAAATCATTGATTATTCAAAACATCTTGGACTTGAACTAAATTTTGAAAAATGCGAGTTGATTACTCTTTCAACTCCGAATAATATTTCCGAATCCATTTTGAAATTGGCTCCTGGCATAAGAATTTTGGAAAAGTCTAAATGGAGTCTTCTGGGTGCTCCTCTCTCTAATGATTCAATTTCAGAACATCTTCGAGAAAAACGGGAATCACTCAAATTGCTGACCACCAGATTGAATGAACTTCCAAAACACGTTGCATTTTTTCTCTTGAAAAATTGTTTGGCGATTCCAAAACTCATGTACGCCCTCAGATGTTCCCCCACTTGGTCAAGTCAGTTAGAGCTTGACGAATTTGATAATTTACTCCGC